TAACTCAGACTTTTTAAAAAAAATATATTTTATTGATTTTGTACAGAGAGGAGGGGAGAGAGATAGAGAGTTAGAAACATCGATGAGAGAGAGAGTCATAGATCAGTTGCCTCTTGCACACCCCCTACTGGGGATATGCCCGCAACCAAAGTACATGCCCTTGACCGGAATTGAACCCGGGTCCCTTCAGTCCCCAAGCCGACGCTCTATCCATTGAGCTAAACCGGTCTCGGCAATAACTCAGACTTTTAATGTTAACATAATTATTAATTTCAAATGAATATGGTAGTCAACCAACATAATTAATATGTGTTTGTGTGTGTGAATGAGTGTTGTCATTAACAATGTATAATGGTACTTTTCAAAAATACAGATGAAAATTTATGAATTTGTGGGTGAAATGGAGATTGTACTGATTATTAAAGAAGCAAAAATTATAGAATTTTTGTGGTTTTAGAGTTGTGGCCTTATAACTTTAAAAATAAATCTAGTAAATTTCAGTGCAGATGAAGCAAGAGGTTTTAGGTTTATCAACCCTATTCCCCTTCCTACCCTACACAACCACTCAAAACTTAAACAATATAAACTTAGACAGATAGGGAGACAAACAAAAAAAACTCATGGTTGTATTAGCTAAAAGTTTGGAGGGAGTTTCAAGAATGCACAAATGAAAGAAGAACCCAAACAGAGCCTACAATTCCTTCTGAGCTGAGGAGAGAAATAAAGGTTTGGAGGCTGACAGCTGCAATGTGTGGGGCAGGAAACCATTAAGGAGAGAGCTGTGAAGAGAGCTGCAGATGGGTCACATGAGGTTCCAGCTGAGCCATAATTTGTGTATACATGAGAGGAAGTGACACAAGCCTAGAGAAAGAACAATAAGGAGAGAGTAAAATTCCCAGTATCCACACAGGGCTGGAAGTAGTTAGTGGTTCCACTTGGTGGTAAAGCCACTGCAAATAACATACCCTAACAGTGTGGCTAAATTCCTTGTTACTTAAAGGCCTATTTGGTTCTGAAATAACAAAATGTAAGGAACCAGAGACACAGAAGCATCAAACAAGACTATTTAACCTATGACGGAGGGTGGGTTAGGGAGTAAGAGATCAACCAAAGGACTTGTATGCCTGCATATGAACATAACCAATGGACACAGACACTAGGGGGGCGAGGGCATGTGCTAGGGGGTGAGGGTGACCGGGCAGAGGTCAGTGGAGTGGGGGAAAGGAGACTCATAATACATTAAACAATAAAGAATTTAAATTAAAAAATGTAAGGGAAATTTTAAAATAATCTAACTGATATAAAAAATATAATTGCAGGTCAGAAAAATAATCCAATGTTATTTAAAAAATATAACAAAATCCAGCAGGAACCAATGTAATATTCACAAAATTTGCCATTCAATAAAAACCTACCAAACAAACAAAAAAGCCCATGACTGATAACCAAGAAAAAGACATATACTGTATTATTCTTTGCATATAAAATTCTAGAAAACATAAAACTATCATTCCAGAAAATGACCAGGAATTGGGGAGGGGACACAGGGGATGGTTAGTCACCAGCAAATGGGCACCAGAGAACCTTGGAGTGATGGAAATGTTCCATTTCTTTTAAATTTATCTTTATTATTGAGAGCATTATAGATGTACCTTATTTTTCTTCCCATTATTCTTTTCCATCTGGCTTCTGTCCCAATCCAGGTCTACACTGCACTATTGTCTGTATCCATGGGTTATGGATATATGTATGCATATAAGTTCTTTGCTTAATTTCTTTCAATCACCCAGTCCCCTCTTCCTTCTGCGATTTGATAGTCTGTTCCATGGCTTTGGACCTATTTTGTCAGTTTATTTTGTTCATTAGATTCCACATATAAGTGAGATCATGTGATAATTGTCTTTCTCTCACTGGCTTATTTCACTTAGCATAACATTTTCCCAGTCCATAGATGCTATCTCAAAAGGTAAGACTTCTTAGTTTTTACAGTTGCATAGTATTCTTTTGTGAAAATGTACCACAGCTTTTCCCCCACTCATCTATTGGTTGGAACTTGGGCTGTTTCCATATTGTAACTACTGTAAATAACACTACTATGAACACAGAGATGAATATATAGTTTATTCTGATTGGTGTTTCAGGTTTCTTAAGATATATTCCCAGATGGGGGATCACTGTGTCAAATGTTAGATCCACTTTTAATTTTTTCAGGAAACTCCATACTGTTTTCTATAGTGGCTGCACTGGTCTTCATTCCCACCAGCAGTATACTAGGGTTCCCTTTTCACCAAATCCCCACCAGCAGTTGTTGATTTATTGATGGTAACCATCTTGGCAGGTGTAAGATGATACATCATTGTAGTTTCAATTTGAAAATATCTGATGATTAGTGACTTTTAGCATTTATTCATGTGTATATATATCCTCTTTGGAGAAGTGTCTAGTAAGGTCATTTGCCCATTTTTTAATCGGATTCTTTGTCTTCTTTTTGTTATTAGATGAGTTCTTTATATATTTTAGAAATTAACCACTTAGGCATCATTGACAAATATATCCTCTCAATCCTCCCTTTTCATTTTGATGATGATTTCTTTTGTTGTGCGAAAGCTTTTTAGTTTATTTATTTATTTATTTATTTATTTATTTATTCCTTTGTTTCTCTTACCCTGGCCTAGGGGATGTATTGGTAAAAATTCTGCTACATGAGATGTCTGAGATATTGCTGCCTATATTTTATTCTAGGATTTTTATGGATACACATTGTCTTTTATCTATTTTCAGTTTATTCTTACATATAGTATAAGTTGGTAGTCTAGTTTCATTTTTTTCCATGTACCGTCCTATTTTCCCAACACCATTTATTAAAGAGATTGCCTTAACTCTACTGTATGATTTACCTCCTTTGTCAAATATTAATTGAGCATAGTGGCTTGGGTCAATTTCTTGGTTTTTCTGTTTTGTTCATTAATCTATATGTCTGTTCTTATGCCAGAATCAGGCAGTTTTGATTACAATGGATTTGTAATATAATTTGATATCTGATATTTTGAATCATCAAACTTTGTTCTTCTTTCTCAAGAATGCTGTAGCTATTTGGGGTATTTTTTTGTTCCTTATAAAGTTTTAGAGTATTTGTTGTAGATCTATGAAATATGTTGTTGGCATTATAATAGAGACTAGTAGTAAAGTGCATGGATTCGTGCACATAGAAAGGAAATTAACTAGAAGAAAGATTCACGAGGTAATTAAGTTACTGCAAAAAATTACATGTCAAAATAGTATATATAACATCTATCTATCTATCTATCTATCTATCTATCTAATCTATCTATCTAAAAGGTTAAGTGACTGGCCAGTTAGCCGGCCGATCACCTGACCAACCGATCGACAATACATATGATGCACAATGGCATTTTAAATATAAACATTGACTTGCGCATGCACAATACATACAATGCTCTTGCTGGTGCCAATCACATGTGTGTGTTTCGATCTGTCATTGTTGATCATGAATTTGGTTGTTTTTATTGGCACTCAACATGAACCACTTGCTATTTATTCATTGACTATCCAACTGACCCATCAGCCAGTACATCTGATGCACACTAGCAATTTAAAAATAAATGTTGACTTGCTCATGCTCGATACATATAAAGGTCTCACTGGCACCAATTGCACATGTGCTTTTAATTTTATATTATATACACTATTTTGACATCTAATTTTTATAGTAATATAATTACCACATGAATCTTCTAATTAATTTCATTTTAATGTGAATGAATCTATGCACTAGGCCACTAATAGTATTATAAAATTAAAACACACATGCGATTGGTGCCAGCGAGAGCTTTATATGTATTGTGCGTGTGCGACTCAACCTTTCTTTTTAAATTGCAAGTGCATGTCATATGTACCAGCCACTTGGTTGATCACATGGTCAGATGGACAGTCAGTTGCTTAGCCTTTTATATAATAGATATTGAGTTGAATCTATAGATTGCTTTGGGTAGATATGGCAGCTTGTATGAAGAAGGTAAGGCACTTTCTCCCCTTCAAGTGCCTCATCTCTGTTTGGCTTTCTGGCACCCCTCACTGTGGATCCAGTGGTGACTGGTGCTGGGGAGGCAACTGCCCTCTTTGTGCCAAAACTGAAGCTCCTAGACCCTGACTTCTGGATGCAGGGCAGCAGCTGCCAGGCTGGGAGAGTGAGCAGCAGCATTGGTGGTGGTAATGGCAGGTGCAGCAAGGTTGGGAGCTGAGTTCTGGCACCCCAGAGAAACACTCCACAGATACTCCTAAATGGGCTCTCTCCAAACCTGGAGGGAGAAGTACTTGGGCTGGCAGAGGTGAGCATGAATTGTGGCCTCAAAGTACCCATATAGACAGAGCTCCACAATTTAAATTCCACTCAAATGTCTGAAGAGGTGGTGAAGACCCCACAGATTGCAAGCAGGGTGACAGGGCCAACAGATCTCTCCCTACACTCCAATGTTTTATGTCTTGAATGTAGTTGTGTTTACAGAATTATGTATATACTAGAGGCCCAGTGCATGGATTTGTGCACCTATGGGGTCCTTGGCCTGGCCTGAACCCTCTTGCAATCCAGGACCCCTCAAGAGATGTTGGACTGCCAGTTTTGGCCCAATCCCCACAGGCCAGTATATGCATATAAGACCTTTGGTTAATCTCTTCCTGTCCTCCCCTCCCCTCTTTCTTCTGAGATTCATCAGTCTGTTCCATGTTTCCATGCCTGTGCATTGAGTTTTTGCCCCCTGGTGGTAAGTGCAGATCATAGTTACCCACTGAATGGTCGAGTGATCAAAGCTTTTATACAGATACTAGATACTAGAGTGTAGGGAGAGATCTGTTGGCTCTGTCACCATGCATGGAGGAGGGGTTTCCCTCAGCCCAGCCTGCACCCTCTCCAATTTGGGACCCTTTGGGGAATACCTGACCTCTGGTTTAGGCCCAATCCCTATGGCTTTGCAAACTGGGACTGCTGGCTCCTAACTGCTCACCTGCCTGCCTGATCATCCATAACTTTCCTCCCCTGTTGGCCTGATCTTGCCCCCAATGACCCTCTCCTGATGGCCTAATCTTGCCCCTAACTTCCCTCCTCTACTAGCCAATTTGGTCTGTTTCTATGCCAGTCAGCATCAAAAGCTCCTCCTTCTAGGCAGCCATTGGCTACCCAAAGCACCTAGAGTTGGTTCTGATTGGTCAGTTTCTATGCCAGTCAGTGTCAGAAGCTCCACCTCCTAGGCAGCCATTGGCTCCCCACAGCACCCAGATTTGGTTCTGATTTGTCAGTGTCCATGCCAGTCAGCATCAAAAGCTCCTCCTTCTAGGCAGCCATTGGCTACCCAAAGCACCTAGAGTTGGTTCTGATTGGTCAGTTTCTATGCCAATCAAAGTCAAAAGCTCTGTCTCCTAGGCAGCCATTGGTTTCTCACAGCACCCACATTTGATTCTGATAGGTCAGTTCCTATGCCAGTCAGCATCTCTGGGTCTATCAACAGGGCCTGATCAGAAAGGCAGGGCTGATCAGCAGTCTCTTTGGAGGCCTGGAGAGAAATGGAGGCACAGCTGCTGGCTAGACTGGGAGAGAAAGAGAGAAGCAAGTGCTGACCAAAAGCTGCCACAGAGGCAATGGATCAGTCCCTGCTTCTTTCTTCAGACCTCTCTCTGGCCCTGATTCGCAGCCTTCTCAGCAGTCAGTGCTGGGGTACTATGCCTGCAGTGGAAGCAATCAACACTGGGTTGCTCTGTGCTGACTTGCAGGACTGACTTCCAGTAATTTGAACCTTGGTTGTTACTGGTTGTTATGACCCAGGGTTTTTATATATTACAACTAGAGGCCTGGTACATGAAAATTCACGCACTGGTGGGAATCCGTCAACCCAGCCAGCTCCCTCTCACAGTCCAGGAGCCCTCAGGAGCAGGAGGCAACCTGGTGGTCAGGAGAAGGTGACACCCCCATCACTCCTCTGCTGCTGTCACTGCTGGCAGCACAAACTTTGGCTGGCCCTGGTTACCTTTGCCTCAGACTGGGAAGCTGCCATCCAAGGCTTGCCTGCACCTCAGGTCAGCCATGGGTAGCTGGGGTCTGAGGGGACTGGGAGAGTCAGGAGGCAGGTGCACAGCAAGGCCTGGAGGGGCTGAGGGGACTGGGCTCTGCCATCTTGTGGCTGAGGGTGCTGCAACCTTTGAGAGCATGGCAGTCAATTAGCATATTCCCTCCTTATTGGCTGTGGGTGCCACAATTTTTGAGGTGGGATAGTCAATTATCATATTACCATTTTATTGGCTGTGGGCACTGCTATCTTTGAGGGAGGGACAGTCAATTAGCATATTGCTTTATTGTTGGCTGTGGACATTACCATATTTGTGATGGTGAGAGGGTAATTAGCATATTCTCTCTTTATTAGGATAGCAGTCAAAACTTATCAAAATGCACTTAGAATTGTAGTTTTATTTCATGTTGTTACACTTTAGTAAAGTTGATAAAAACATTAAATTAAGTGAAAATTCCAGAGAAATATTTAATGAAAATATAATAATTATGTGTAAACAAAAATACTTATTTTTGTATATTTAGTTGCTGCTTGTGAAATACTTGAGTATCTTTATCAATTTTTATTTCAGTTCAATAAACTTTAGCATAATTGCTATCCTCATAATTACTATCCTCATAAACTTTCAAAAGTTATTCCAATTGAAAAGATACACTGATTGTGTTAAAAATCATAGAGTGAATCAATATTCAATTCTTTAATTGGTTAAAAATTCAAATTTCAATTCTAATGATTGTTTTCATACTACTTTTGAAAAACAGTAAACTTATTTTTAGTTCATTTATATTTCAATTTTTACAGCTTTTCCTCATTATGTGTCTTAGTTTGAAATAGAATAAAAAGCCTAGAAATTACAGTCTAACATCAAAATATTCAGTTGATTACTTCTATTCTTTCACATTAAAATTATGACTAAATATTAGTGCCTAATTTATTTTAGTCCACATTCTTATTAAAATTCTCACGAGGAATAAAGAAAGGAGAAAAAGTTACTAAAACAATGAATACAATCAGAGTTACCAGAAATTTGTCTGACAAAATTAAAATTCTCACTGACTGAAGCAACAAGGTTTTGAGGTTAATGACACAGGTGAGAAGGCAGGTGATAAGTATTCCATCTTATATTATACTTCCAGTGGCCTAGTACATGAAATTCATGCATGGGGCTTTTCCTCAGCCCAGCCTGAACCCTCTCCTTGGGGGATGTACAACTGCAATCTGGGACCACTGGCTCCTAACCACTCACCTATCTGCCAGCCTGATCCCCCTAACTGGTCTCCCCTGCTGGCCTGATCTCCCCTAACCACCTCTGCCTCGGTCCCACCACCATGGTTTTGTCCGAAAGGACATCCAGAAAGTCATCCAGAAGTTGTTTGGTCTAATTAGCATATTACCCCTTTATTAGTATAGATCAGTGGTTGGCAAACTCATTAGTCAATAGAGGCAAATATCAATAGCACAAGGATTGAAATTTCTTTTGAGAGCCAATTTTTTTTAAACTTAAACTTCTTCTAACACCACTTCTTCAAAATAGACTTGCCCAGGCCGTGATATTTTGTGGAAGAGCCACACTCAAGGGACCAAAGAGCCGCATGTGGCTAGTGAGCCGCAGTTTGCTGACTATGGGTATAGATTGATTTCAGAAAGGAAGGGAAATAAAAACATCAATGATGAGAGAGAATCATTGATTGGCTGCCTCCTGAACACCCCCCACTGGGGATCAAGCCCACAACTCAGGCACGTGCCCTGACCTGTAAGTGAACTCCAGGCCCTTCAGTCCTCAGGCAGAAGCTCTATCCACTGAGCAACACTGGCCAGGGTTATACTTTCCCTTACCACTGGGACATGTTCTGTCTGCTGGAGCTGAAACACTGAAGCTGTCTCACTGGGGCAGAGTGGGGTGCACTGGTTTGGAGCAGGTGGAGCCCCCTGAAAGCTGGACAGGGGCCTCATTTAAGAGCCTCACTGTTTCATGGCAGTGCTGCCTCCTAGTTGAGTTGGGCTGTGTCACAATCAGTGGAAGTTTACACAACTGAACTGTCTGCATGGATAGCTTCCTACCCACTATACCCCCACGCTGGGACTTCTTCTTAGGGTTTAAGTGACACCAACCACCCTTGGTTGGTAGCCCAGTCAGCCACTTTGGAAAGAGAAATGGGGAATCCTGTTTTTATATGAATGCTCCAGTTTCTTAAGTTGGCAAATAATTTGAATTTCAGATGTTTGGACCAAACCAGAGAGTGATCAGGCCTAGTATCCAGGCCACTGGGCAGCACTGGGTTCAGCCCAGCTGAATAGGGACCCGAGGCATCTGGGCAGGTGAAAGGGTTGGGGGCATGCTTGGGTAATTCCAACATTACCCCACTTGGTTGTTTTGTATGTTTTTTCCAGTGATCACAATTTACTATAATCTGTTGGCAGCATAGATAGATATTAGTTACCAGAACTATGTCTTCATAGAAGTGGACAGTTTGTAGCCATTCTATGGGGAACTGTGTGCACTAATTATCAGCATGATCTTTCAGTTTCTTTTTTTCTGTTAATGAAAATAAGCTTTATTACATCAAGTAATAAACACATACAAAGATGCAAACACTATTAGACACTTTCTTCCAGATGTTTGGATCCACTAATGGGAAAGGCGGAACTGAAATCTACATATATCCTTAGGGAAAATTTCAGGGTTCCTTGTCTGGCGAGGTTTGATAAGTTGCTCTTTCTTCTGTATTTATAACTTGTGCATTTTACTTTATTTTTTAAAGTATATTTAACATCGATCAGCTGCCTCCTGCACACCTCCTACTGGGGATGTGCCAGCAATCAAGGTACATGCCCTTGACCGGAATCTAACCTGTGACCCTTCAGTCCACAGGCTGATGCTCTATCCCCTGAGCCAAAACAGTTATGGCTAACTTGTGCATTTTAAAGATTGACTTCAAAGTACTAATAGTCATCCAAATGCTTAAGGAAAAAAAAAGTTTCATTGAGCAGAATTTATACTGTGTGGCGGACAGGAACTGGCTGCTTACTACCTCAGGACTTGCTGAAACAAACCCTCAGAATTGGATCAGCTCAGAAGAGAAACATAAAGAACCATATAAGTAACAGAAATGTACCCAGAAAGAAACAGGTATCTGGAAGGCCAGCTATGGTTTGCTGTGATAGGTAACTGATGTGCAACATGTAAGTCAATGCTTTAAAAACACACCCACAGGTGAGGAGGTAAGATGGCAGAAGAATAGATGGGCGGATTCTGAGCCCTCTCCCGAAGCAGAAAGAGAGAGCAACTGAGGGTCTTGTGCTGTGAGTGTTTATCGGCAAGCTGGGAGACAGTGAACACCAGAAGAAACTGCTGGGGGGCTGCTGACAGAGGTGCCCCTCACAGGGAAGCACCCACGAGGGCTGTGTCCCTGCCCGGAGCTACCTACCGGCTTGGACGGGGAAACCTCGCCATCTTGAGAAGAAGATAGGATCATGTCAGAGGCCTGAATATCCACAGCCGCAGCGACCACCAAGCATCTGTGACCCCCAGAATGCGGATCCCAGGAGGCGCGAACACCTGCCCTCACAGGATTGCCCCATTGCTCAGCAAAAAGGTCAGATTTTGCAGGGAGAGTGTGGAGAGCGCTCGCGGCTAAAACAAAAAGCGAGCAGAGCGTGCTCGCGGAAGCTGGAGGACAAGGGCGGTGATTACAAGTAGAAGCCCCCGCTGTTGGGCTGTTGTCACCCTTGAAAGTGGACAGGGCTCCTAACAGGGGAGATATCTAAAGAGCAACACATTTGGATCCGGTTCGGAGGGATATCGGAGAGTTGCGGGAGAGTCCAGTTGCTCGGACCTGCCCCCTCCCCCCCTCTGTAGTTCCAGCTTCAGAAAGGACAAAAAAAAAAAAAAAAAAAAAGCTGGAGAGGCTCTAGAGCACGTGTGTCAAACACAAGGCCCGCGGGCCAAATCCGTCCCGCCAGGCCTTGCAATGTGGCCCGCACCACGCTGTCATCACTGCACTCCGCTGCGTTTCCATCACAATGACAGTTTATGACTGTTCAGTAAACCATTCGGCCCGCAATTTAGGCTGGATTTTAGATTTTGGCCCCTTCTCTGATTGAGTTTGACACCCCTACTCTAGAGTCTGGAAGTCAACCTAGAAACACTGCCCCCAGAGGCTAATTCACAAATTGACTCTAGTGAGATAAAAACAAAGCAAAACCTGCCTAAAAATCAGGACTGGATCATAACAATAGAGGGAGCGAATGACCTTCATTACTGCAAATTTTAATTAAATTTTTTAAATTTTATTATTATTTTTTTTAATTTTTAAATTTTTGTTTTTTATTTTTGTTTTCATTATTTGCAACGTTTACTCAAGAAACTATTTTTTTTCTTTTTCCTCACTTGATTTTATCTTGATAATTATTACATTGTATATGTAATCAACATTATTACTACTACTAATTTACCTTTTTCATCTTATTTTCTTTTGTTTATTTTTATTATTTTTATTTCATTTGAATATATATATATATATATATATATATATATATATATAGATTTTTTTTTTTTAAATTTCAGGATTACTGTTCTACAGTCTTTATCTATCCTTCTTTCTCCAACGCTTTATTCTATCTCAACCCTACCTTTATGCCTTCACCTTCTTTCCAATCTTTTCCTTTGATACCCTGTTTATCTTAACCCTTTCCTGCTCTAGATTTCCCCCATTCCTTCTGTCTACCCCCTCCTAAAATTTCACCCTACTTGTATATATCTAATTTCCAACTACCTGCTCCAAACCCATTCACACCTCCCTCGCAGTTGTCATAAAAACAAAACAAAACAAAACAAAAAACAAAACAGTCTTTCTCTCTAACTCTTTGAAGTTGTATGTTGAATGTTAACTTTACTGAAGTTGTATGCTTTTCTTTTATAAGATTGATTTGCCTATGCTTTTTGTTTGATTGTATGTTTTTGTTAGCTGGGTTCTAGTCACCCTTATTGGTGGTTATTAATATCGCAAACACATTTCTATTCAGTGCCTTGTGTGTTGCACCTGGTTGTGTTGTATTTTGTGCCTTTAAATCAAAGCAGGAGAGAGAGAACTACACAACCAGACATCCTAGATCATGGGGAGACCAAAAAACAGCCCGCATATGAAAGAAAAGCAGGCTTCACCAGAAAAGGAAGTAAACGATATAGAGGCAAGCAACCTACCAGAGCAAGAATTCAGAGTAACGATCTTAAGATGGCTAAAAAGAATGGAAGACAAATTTGACAATATGAGTAAGACCCAAGAGGAAATGAAAAAAACCCAAGAGGAAATGAAGATGACTCAAGATTAAATGAAAAATGACATCGCTACTATGAAGAACTCAATAGAAAGCATCAAGAGCAGACAGAAGAAGCAGAGGATCGCATCAGTGAGCTAGAAGACAAGATGGAAAAAAATACCCAATTAGAGCAGCTTCTAGAAAAAAAATTAAAAAGCAGGAGGAGAGCCTATGGGAGCTTTGGGACAATGCAAAACAAAACAATATTCGAATAATAGGGGTTCCGGAAGGAAAGAAAACCGAGGTAGATATGGAAAACGTATTTCAAGAAATAATGACAGAAAATTTTCCTGAGATAGAGAAGAAAAAACCCACACAAATCCAAGATGGTCCCAGAGTCCCAAGCAAAATGGATCCCAGAAGACCAATGCCAAGACATATTATAATTAAACTGGCAAACACCAATGACAAAGTTAGAATCTTAAAAGCAGCCAGAGAGAGACAGAAAGTTACATATAAAGGAACCCCCATCAGACTAACAACTGATTTCTCAACAGAAACTTATCAGGCCAGAAGGAAATGGGATGAAATATACAAAGTCATGCAAAGAAAGGGTCTGAATCCAAGAATACTGTACCCAGCAAGACTATCAATCAAAATTGAAGGGGAAATCAGGAGCTTCACAGACAAAAAAAGACTAAAGGAATTTATCTCCACCAAACCAGCAATGCAAGAAATGCTAAAGGGTCTACTGTAAAAATAAAGAAATAGGAAGCGAAGAAGGAACACAGGGGTATAGAATAAAAATGGCATCAAATGAGTACCTATCATTAATAACATTAAATGTAAATGGTTTAAATGCTCCAATCAAAAGACATAGGGTAACAGATTGGATAAGAAAACAAGACCCATACATCTGTTGTCTACAAGAAACCCACCTCAGAAAAAGAGATGCACACAGACTGAGGGTGAAGGGATGGAAAAAAGTTTTCCAGGCAAATGGAAATGAAAAGAAAGGCTGGGGTAGCAATACTTATATCTGACAAATTAGATCTCAGAGTGAAGGACATAACAAGAGATAATGAAGGCCACTTCATAATAGTAAAGGGAGCAATCAAACAAGAAGAAATAACCCTGGTAAATATACATGCACCCAATACAGGAGCACCCAAATACATTAAAAAAAAAAAAAAAAAAAAAAAAAAAAAAAAAAAAAAATGCTGGAGGACATTAAGGGAGAGATTAACAGCAATACAATCATAGTAGGAGATTTTAATACACCACTGTCACCCTTCGACAAATCATCTAAACAAAAAATCAGCAAAGAAATATCAATCCTAAATGACTCACTAGACCAGATGGAATTAATTGACATCTTCAGAACATTCCACCCCAAAGCCACAGAATATACATTCTTCTCAAATGCACATGGGACATTCTCAAAGATAGACCACATTTTGGGACATAGGCAAAGTCTCTTCAAATTCAAGAAGATAGAAATCATATCAAGCATCTTCTCAGACCATAATGGCATAAAACTGGAAATTAACTACAATAAAAATAATCCAAAGAAATCAAACTCATGGAGACTAAACAGCATGCTATTAAACAAGGACTGGGTTACCAGAGAAATCAAGGAAGAAATTAAAAACATCCTGGAAACAAATGACAATGAAAACACAACAATCCAAAATCTATGGGACACAGCAGAAGCAGTTTTGAGAGGGAAGTTCATATCCTTACAAGCCTATTGCAAAAAACTAGAAAAAAAGTGTAACAAATGATCTAACTCTACAACTCAAAGAGTTAGAAAAAGAGAAACAAGAAAAGCCCAGTATAAGTAGAAGGAAGGAAGTAACAAAAATCAGAGCACAGATAAACGACATAGAGACCAAAGAAACAATACATAAGATCAACAAAACCAAGAGCTGGTTCTTTGAAAGAATAAACAAGATAGATGGCCCTCTAGCCAGACTAATCAAGAAACACAGAGAGAGGACCCAAATAAACAAAATCAGAAATGAAAGAGGTGAAATAACAACGGACCCCACCGAAATACAACGGATTGTTACAAAATACTATGAACAACTCTACTCCAACAAACTGAACAACCTGGAGGAAATGGACATATTCCTAGAAAAATATAATCTTCCAAAACTCAATCAGGAAGAATCTAAAAATCTCAATAAACCAGTGACTTGGGAAGAAATTGAAACAGTCATCAAAAAGCTTCCAGCAAACAAAAGCCCAGGGCCAGATGGCTTCACAAGAGAGTTTTACCAAACATTCAAGGAAGAACTAAAAACTATCCTCCTCAGACTATTCCAAAAAATCTAAGAGGAAGGAATGCTTCCAAATTCCTTCTATGAAGCCAGCATCACCCTAATACCAAAACCAGATAAAGACAACTCAATGAAAGAGAATTACAGGCCAATATCCCTCATGAACATAGATGCCAAAATCCTCAACAAAATTCTAGCAAATCAACTCCAGAAGAACATCACAAAGATCATACACCACGACCAAGTAGGATTTATTTTAGGAATGCAAGGATGGTACAATATCCGCAAATCAATAAACGTAATACATCACATAAACAAATTGAAAGATAAAAATCATATAGTCATATCAATTGATGCAGAAAAAGCATTTGATAAAATCCAACACCCTTTTCTGATAAAAACTCTTAACAAGGTGGGAGTACAAGGATCATACCTCAACATAATAAAAGCTATATATGATAAACCCATAGCCAACATTATACTCAGTGGGCAAAAACTAAAACCATTCCCTCTAAGAACAGGAACAAGACAGGGATGCCCACTCTCGCCACTCCTGTTTGACATAGTACTGGAAGTACTAGCCATTGCAATTAGACAAGAGGAGGAAATAAAAGGCATCCAAACTGGAAAAGAAGAAGTAAAGTTATCCTTATTTGCAGATGAC